TTAAATGAATACAGTTTAAAACATATTTAACGCATAAATGAAAGTTTTATTTCTATAATATTCAAAATAGTTTTCGCACAACAGAGATCCATTTTATAAATTTATGACAACCCTAATATTTCCGCTTTCAATATCCGACAGTTTAAAAACTATTTCATACAATTGAATTGTTTTGTTCATATACAAAACTGTGTCACCGTGTTTTCCTTTATGTATACAATGAGTTGTCTTGTATATCCTAACTGTACCATTAATAAAACCGTTTTGTATGAAAAAATGTCAACAACGTATTTTTTTTTATTTTTTTACATACAGAGAAAAAATAAAAAAAATATGTTAATAAAAATGTCGCCAAACTGCACAGCAGTTTGTTGGCGACAAACACCCATTTCTTATAATGGGTGTTTGTCGCATGCTTTAGGGTTTTACTATATGAGAATGCAAGATCGTAATATTGATAATATTATCTTTTTTTTTTCATAAAACAAAAATTTAACTAACGAGTGGTATATGGATAAGGGGCGATAATAAATTGTATGCTGAATTGCTGAAAAACAAGTATAAAATTTGCTTATAACAGGAGTCAATTGTTCGGCTTACGGATGGGATTTATTTCTCTGTTGCCGATTCTCTTGATTTCCTTGGATTTTATTGAACTTTTCAGAACAAATAAAAGAACATCAGCCCTTTACTGTGTTTCAATATAAAATCAACACCACAGTATTTTAGGTCTTGCATAATGCACTTTCGAAACGTAATACCTGAAACTAGGTCTCTGAATAACGGAACGAATCTTCGAATTGACATGAGAAAGTTGAGGGAGGTCTTAAGGAAGTCGCTTGTTTCATAGCTAACGGCTCTTTAAATGAATACATGTCGAAAACAATATGTTAATTTAAAAAGCTAATAAAATCGGCAATCGTTTGTGATTTCGCCGTAGGGGAAAGTCGATTTAACCGGAATCGAATTATATGCTAAAAATGTTCTTTAAAGTTCGTCAATTGATTTAAAAATTCTAAATTTAAAAGCAAACTATTGCATCATTGAATAACCCAGGCTATTTATTATTTATCTATATATATATTCTTAACGAACGAATCACAAGCTATGTGAAAGTAGAGGACGTTAATAGATTTTTAAAAAATTAAATAACGTTAAAACTATAAAAAAATCGGGCAACATAATTCCACAAAATTTGTTATCCGTTAAGAATCACCTCGTATATGCACTAATCCTGGGTATATTACTAATATAGTTCTTCAGTGAAATTTCTCTAATAAGAACGGTGACTAAACTAAAAGGAAAGAAAAGACGGTCAGGTATTTGCAAGTTGGAATTCTGCAAACCGGTTGCTTGAAAGTTTCTGAGCGCAGTCCTATTATTATTTAGTCACTGAATGCCCTCTTTGTCCTCTAATGTGATAGTTTGCTCTTACTGTGTTTTAACCCAAGTTTAACTGTTCTATAATGTGCCTTTATCAATCGTTTAATATGCAAATACAGACGAGTAATACAAAGTTAAGGAAATAGTGGACCAGGACTGCGCAGTAAATCCGAAATTATACCTATCCTTTTTGGTTATAAAGGTGTAGAATTCTAATCAAATAGATTTGTGTTCCTAATAGCGCTCGCACAACTTTGACTAAACTATCGCAAAACTTTTTAGTCACCCTTTTATTTCTATGATCTTATATGGGGGTGTACACAATACTCGATTGTTACTTGTGCAACTAAACAGTCAAATTGACTGCGAAACAATCGACAATCGCTTCATATTGCCGTATTCCAAAAATTACACAGGTAATTGAACTTTTTACCTCCAAAAAATGTCACAGAGTATTTTATATCGCAGTTACCTTTTTTCAAGTTAAATGATGTCATTTATTGTACACTAATCGAGGTTATGGAACTTGTCAACCTTGCCCGATTGCGTACGACGGTTTATGTACTACGAAAACTGTGTACCTTGTAAGCGTTTACTAACTTGTTTAGTTCTCACGTAGTTACTATGTAATTTCGCTAAGTTAGTCTGTGATTGCTATAATTGTTTCATTGAAATATATTCGTATTTCTTGAGTAAGACTGTTACAGTGATATTCCATAGTTAAAGCGGTTCATTTAGCAACTGATGTTATAGTTTGTGACCAACTTCCCAAAAGGAAGGTACTATATTCCTCTGTATGTTTTTTGTTTGTTATGCGATATCTCTGGCACTGGTAGACCGATTTTTAATGTTTCATTTTTATCCGCAAGGTGGTGCTTGCAGGTGGGTCCCATTTCTTTGTTTAATTTTTGGAGTCAAAGACTACGGCTTAGTTAAATAGTTTTTACTATTATAGGAACAGAAATGTAAAGCACACTCTCATCATACCTATCCTTTAATTCATTTGATGGCGTAGTCTATAAGTAAGTTAAGGCCAAAGTTTAGTGCGTACTTTTGCGTTGCGGGATTTCCATTGGAGTCGTTTGCCCTCGATTGTAAATTAAAAAAAAAAGTGGCCAAGACTGGCAGGTGTTAGAATATTTTTTTAATAAAGATCGCAGGTTGATATTTCGTGTTGTATTCAATTAATGAATCGCAATTAATTCTACATCAATTGAATTAACAAACAATAGTCCAACTGTTTCCCATCGTGACTGTCACTCGTGATTACGTCTGTTGTGAAAGACTAAACTATTGACAATGTTTGCAAAAATTACCATAAGTTTTTTAATGTGCTTTTAACTAGTCTTTGTCTTGACGTTTAGCCTTAACCTTTTTATTGTAATAGAGATTGTAATCGGAGTTTCCACTGCTGAAACATTACAATTACGCACATACTCTTTGAAGAATGAAAATGACGATAGTGAAAAAATCGATCAATTATTAAATCTCTTGTAAACTAAGTATCGACCCATTTCGTATATTGCCTAGGAAATACAAATCCAAAAAGTATTTGTGCAGTTTCCCAAGTTTCTCTTTACTCAATACTTTCAACACACCTTAATTCATTGAACCATAAACTATAATAAAACATCAATAAGCTATAGATAAAAGTATAGAGACAATACTGCAATAGTTCGGAAGCAAAACTGGCAGCTGCAGCATAAAAAGCATAAAAGCGCCTCCGTTGAGGCGTAACGAAATGGTTGGCGACATCAATCGCGGTCGTGGGATTCGGTAGCCAGTTGTGGTACTCGAATGGAGGTGGACTTATCGTCTGGCCATCCGCGAGGCGCCATTCCGCTGCGAGCTCACTCGCGAGACTGATCAGTGATCTTCGTCTTCGTTCTTTTTTCAAAATTGACCATAGATATTATTTTTAATGAATAATAGTGATGTGATTTCTGCCAATTGAGTTTTGGATTAATGTGTTTGGGTTATTTGAAGTGTTGGTTTTTAGAGTGCATTGGAATATCGATTTTTAAGGATTGCAAAAGGTATAGAAAATTGAATTTTGTTTACAATTTTTGCACATTCTACAAATTAATTTCTGATCTTATTCCTAATAGATTATTACAATACTATCTTATGAAACGGAATTAAATATATAAATGATTTCCACATGTGTTTTAAATATTGTCAACTTTTAAAATACCAACGATACGTAAGCATATGTCGCATTTCTGAAGTTCTATGCAAATATTACACAAATGCTAACAATGATAAATCCCAGAGTGACTCATTATTGTGATATTTGACGTGTTTGAAGTACAACGTGGGTTTTGGCAACTTAAGTAACCGTCCCCAAGTTTTATTTCCTATTATTTTTTAATAAAATTACCTATTAAAGCTCTAAATAATAAATGGTACTTGTTATAAAAAAAATTAAACGTAGTAATTTTTCTAATCCGTATGTCCACATGTTCCTCACGTTGTGATACATGTTGTAACACATTTTCCTCGCATAGATCGATCTAAATGCGTAATAGATGTTTTCCTTAATCATAAAAAATTCTATACCACAACAAATGTGTTAATAGACATTTTAAACTAACCGTAGATTTCCACTGAATATGCAAATTGTTATCTCTGTTATTTCATATGCGTATAAAAAGGATGACAATATGTTCTCGTACAAGTACAGTCAGCGGCATAAAAATATGTACATTTATAAAATTATAGAAACTTGTACACGTTTTCAGATTCAAAAGTATTTAAGCACGTATTCGTCAATAGAATCTATTCATGGTCGGAAGCAATGGATGAGTATACATTGCAACAGATGACGTATATACAAGTTTCTGACCCTTTGTAAATGTACACATATTTATGAAGCTCACTGTACAATGTTTTATGAATAAACAAAACAAGGAAATAAGAGTTGACAAACATTCCTCTATGTTCCTTTCTTTTCTTACTTCGTCTATATGACTACTCCAAGAATACCCTATCTTGACAATAACTTAAAAAAGTTGTTTTTCCGTATAAAGAGCGGCAGTCCATCCGCATTCATGAACGATGTGTTATGTTACAAAAACTTTAACTGCCTTCAACTTGATAACACTTATACCGGTTTATTGTACAAATAAACAATAATATCTTGGTAGATTTACTTACCTCAATTAGCATATTGCATACGATTTGAACCAATATGAATAAAAATATTTATACCAATAGTTTTTCTTACGTTTTTCTTACACACCGTATATCATCCGCATTCAGTAACGTTTTATCTACAGTAAAAACATCATTGGCACTAAACATTTGTATACGTCCATGTGAATAGACTCTAATATAAAGCCTATTTCACACTTGTTAAAAATGTGAATGGGCGATAATCAAAGAGCGGTATGCACCTTTGACTAAACTATAACACAACTGTCCTTCGATTGTCGATTGTTTCTGTTGTTCAACTGTTTAGTTGCACAACTAAAAACCAAGTTGAGTGCCCACCTCCATATAAGCTCGTAGGAATCAAAGCGGAACTAACAGTTGTACGAGAGTTTAGTAAAAAGATGCCCACGCGCTCTAAAGATAGCTTCACACGACATAAATAATAATTTCTTCTTCATTTTCAGCAGACAAAGCGCGACCAGCGCCGACTAAACAAGATAAATCAGACACAATCTCAGTGCATTCAACAAGTTCCAAAACGAACCTTTCCAATAATTCTAGAACAACCTCTAAAGACAGTGTGAACGAAGACACGATCAGTCAAACTTCGCTAGGAGGAGGTATTAAAGGAAAATTGGCGGCCCTATTTAACAAGGAGCAGACGATAAGCGAGACAACGATAGCAAATAAGTTTAAACAAGAAAGAGAGAAAGAGATGGAGATGTTGCAGAATAGATTCCAATATAAGGTATGTTATATCAATTATCTTAAATCTTCCTCTTACTGCTGTACTCAGAGTCTTTACATAGTCGCTATGGTAATCTACACTAAAGGACTCGATAAGTTACTGATAATTGTAAATAAATTATTGTCGTTCATATGTGAAAATATTTATAGACTGGGTCTTGTATAGTAAATAGGCTAACATACAGTTGCTAAACCACGAAAATTCAATGCCTTGATTCCGTATACGGTGGTTTTCATAAGTTGACCGCATTACCGATACTTTACCACGGATTTACAAAGATCTCCAATATCAAGATACTGTACTTCGTAAACATGTTCGTGTTGTTGATGGAATATCTATATTTTTAATTTGTGTACACTACACCTTAACTATATCCTACTTACTTATACTATATCCTATCCTAATTCTTACTAATATTATAAATGTGAAAGTTTAGATGGATGGATGGATGTTTGGTAGAGTTTGTAGCCTAAACGGCTGAACAGATCTCGATGAAATTTGGCACAGACGTCTAGGATAGCCTGGAAGAACACATAGGCTACTCACTTTTGTTTTTTTTTAATACCAGCAGACGGAGTCGCGGACAAAAGCTAGTTTGTTAATGTTGTTCAATATATTAGCATTGTTTTCTTATCATCCAACTATAAAATGACTTGCAGAATAATTTAATTAAGTTCATCTAACATCAAATCAAGATTAATGTCGTGTTCCTTATCTTAAAATTGCATCGCATTTTTTTATCTGTACCTCGTTAGTCACTTCTAAAATATAAAAGAAATACAAACTCCTTAGTACTCTCGTGGGGTCAACGCATCGGGTTTTCGTCCTCCAAATAACTCTATCATCAGTCATCACTCTCTTCTTGATCATGTCACTTTTCACGCAATCCATCCATCTCTTTCTACGTCTACCTCTACCGATACCTCCACATTTATAACTAACGTCTCCGAATATAAAAGTGAAAACAAAAAACCCATAGCGTTATTACCCAACAACAACTAACTATGATAAATATGGACACAATATGTGATAATTTTTTTACCAACTACGCAGGCTAACCTCATTTCTAACGCCAACTGACCTTTAACTCCGACGCGCTTGGGTTTCGTCTACTGTACAATAACACAGTTCTATTTAAATAATATAATTATGTCAAGTTTCTTAATCCATGTAATAAGTTTACTTCTGTGGTATTCAATTATAAGTAACTTATATGCTAGCGTGGTTAATTCCTAATCAATCCTCAAAATAGGCTCGAACATCTTAGTGGGGTAGTAAAAGATCTGACGACGATATACTTTTAGATATATGCCTATTTAACGATGTTTATAGGCGTATTTTTATTGCGTTTAAGGTCTTAATATTAACGACTACCATATTTTTAATGGTTAGTGATCTCTTAGTCTACGTTCATTCGTATCTAAGCCAATACAATTCTTCTGTTACAGCCTAAACAAGAGACTACAGAACAGCACAATGAATCGGATGACGACCATAGTGAGAATGACCCCTCAGAAAAGGCCCCTCTAATGGGCAGTACTATGAGTCTCTCCCAAGCCAAGAAGCCGGAGATCGTGTCCAATCTGCCTAAAGTCACCTTCGATGATAAAGAAGCGCCTACTGATAAAGATGACAAAGTCGTGGCTTCACAACCGGTTAAGAGAAGAAGTGGGTAGTTTTATATAATTTTTACACTACACATATTTGCATTAATTTCGACTTTATTCCAAATGATGTCTAAATTCTTTTTCCAGGTTCCCAAGACTCGCAAGTGGTACTCTCAGTATTAGAAGATGTAAAAAGGATCAAAGTAAACAATCCTAAAGAGAGTAACGGAGGTCTCCCCCAGCCGAGCATCTACCCACATTTATCGGATATAGAAACAGATCAATCCAATTCTCAAGAGGAATACTCCGACTGTGGTGGATCAAGGTGTGGACACTACGCCTTAGAATGCGTCTTTTTCTTCCTTTGTATTTAACCAACATTTGTACATGTTGGCGTTGGTTATGTTTACGCTTGACAATGTTTGATCAAACGTTTGGTACAAGCAGTTTTAGTGTCGCGATTGGTCTGCCATCTGTGAAAAATGTTTTTTTTTATATAAGCGGGTTTGCTTGTTCTTTTTTTAGATAAAGTAGAATAAAGTCAAGACTTAATAGCTATAATAATAATAACGCACAGATGGCATATCTAGCCATATATTTATTTAGTAAAAAAGTTACTACTTTTTAGGTTTAATTGTACTTATCGTACATATCGAACTTTGTTGCAAATATTTGCAATAAATTAATGAAATATTTGACTATAATAATATCTTTTTTTGATACTTTTAAACAACTTCAATTGTTTAAATTGGTCTGGTTATATCAACGGTAATTTATAAATAAGAATATAACAAAGCAAAATAATAATAATATACCCTTTTCCCAGTGTATGAATAACTTGTAAATCCACGTTACATTGCAAAAAATTTTCAGATTATCGATTTTATCATGAGTTTACGAGACAATAATTGTTAGAAAATCGATTTTTAAAGAGCCAGCTGGTGTCATATAGTTGACATTGACATAGTATCCACATTTATGTATTAAGTGTAAATGCGGGTTATTAAACTTACATGAGAACTATAAAAAAAAACGATGTCCTTTATCAGAAAAATTACTTAACACAAATCTATGTATTTAAACCTACAATACTAAGGGATTATCTGCAAATTAATTTAATAAAAATCTTCGAAAACGATGACATTGAAAAAAAGACTTTAGTAAGTCTTGATAAAGTCTATTTTGACTTATCATGTAAGCATAAAGGCTGAACTAGACTGCCATCGATATTGTGCCTATTCACCTCTACTGATCTTTTGTACGTGTTTATACATTGTTACTTAGAACTTTATCTGGAATGTTCTTTGAACAAATATGGCCGACGAGCCAAGTTGGAACTGGTTTTAAAACCAATAACAATACTTATGGATAGGATTTACATGAGTTGAAAAGAATCACTTGGGTTTAAGCTATCTGAAAATACAGACGAATTTATAACCTTCTCCTTTTTTTGAGAAATCGGTTAAAAATACGATATTATAAAATAAAAATAACTTCTTTAAAGACTGCATTTTTCATGTAAATCTTTTCTAAAACTTTAAACATAGTCTGACAGAGTAACAGCATCACTCAGAGACCGTTAACGGTTACTTATGAATTACGTGAAATTCTCTTACTAAAACACACTAAAGTACTTCCTTAGTGACAATTAACGTTTTAAAAGACAGCGTAGATAAACATTTAAAATGCAATACTATTCATTTAAAACTTCTTTGAGAAATAAACGTGTTAAAGAAAATGAACTAGTTAAAATGTTAGAACTGCAAACTATACTAATAATACAAGTCATTGAGACTGCGCAGTATACGATATTTTACAATAATTTGTAACTTTACACTTAGGGCCTGTCCCACCAAATAAAATATGTAATGGAATCGAATCTTGTTCCCTTATCTGTTAGTGACGCCATTTTTAAGCTATCTCAGCCTCTTCAGCCAGTGGTGGGACAGGCCCTTAGTCATTTAAAAACATATGTTGCTATATCGAGTTTCAATATACGCCTAGCTTTGTTTTAATGTAAACCATACCATCTCATTACGTATGATTACGGTAAGTAATCATCAGTTCCTTTGCCTTTTTTGAATTAAAAATCACTCCGAAACAAATCAGTTTGCGAAATCTAAATGATCCGACACATTCGCAAAATATCATGCAAATAAGCCATGGCCCAAATACACGCGTAATACGTTACCCGTATAGGTAGTATCGTGGACAAATATCTATTGATTATTTTGAGCAGGGCCGGATTTAATATTAATAACGCCCTGGGCGTTACGGCCCCTATATACAAGACACACCGAAAACCGGTTTACGAACATAGACTATAAAGCAATAAAAAGGTTAAAAATTATCAAGTTTAAAATGTTGGTAGTAGTATATATGGTTAAATAAATAAGACTGTAATGTTGCCTATGGTATAGTTGTAGTGTTTATGTTAATAACCTAGAATTAAACCTAACCTATAATTTGGTTGTATTTTGTCCGTTCACTTAGAAACACCAATTACTTTTAGGTGTTATTGAAATTCTTACGTAGGTTGATATTTATAAACAGATAGCCCTTTTTGAAAATATATCTTAGTTAAATAAAAAAAAATGGCCTAATAAAAATGCCCGTAGTTACTATAAAAATCCTTCCTCATACAACTTCCTACTTATTCCTCTAAGTACTTATAAAAAAACGATAGAAATTTTTAAATACAAAATCACTTTAAGACATATTATTAAAATCGCTTATAGTACAGTCCAAACCTTTGGACGTGTAGTAGTAATTTTTCATTTATACTTTATTATGAGTAAATAATAAAAATACTGCAATTTTTTGCAGTAACATTGTGACGGCGTCTTATATCCTATTAATTTTTATTATCAAAGTACAATGTAATTTTTTTTTTTACTTTAGTCGTAAAGTACGATTCAAGCATGTTCACAGCATGATATTTTGGATAGGATATCGAGAAATTTCACGTCTGTTTAATTAAAATATATATCCAGTAGCATTTGAAACATGAATATATTTACTAATTCCGTTCAAATTATTAATTTTAAGTCAACAAGGTTTTTGCCTTTTTACTTAATGTAATTTAAACGTCGATTGCATTTAGGGTGTATTTGGCTACGTTCTCAGATTCTTAGAGTTTATAAGATGTCCGATATGGGCGCCTAAAGACTTCATAATAAAAAGGGCATAAAAAACTGGCTATATCACACTAACAATGTAGTCGACTGTACACATTTGGTCAGACAAACTGAACCAGGTTTTTGGAAATTTTGGTAGCATAATAATGAAATTTCTCTTTCAGGTTGCCTTTTACCGTATATTTAAACTGAAACACCCGTACAAAAATAACGCTATCTCTCTCGTTCCCTTGAAAAAGAAAGGGATAGAAACATTTGTAGTGGTGTTTCAGTGCAAACTATCGGTATTAAATTTTAAGTTAATTTGTCTGTGATAATAGAAACTTTTCTATCAGATTTTTGTAAAAATAAAAAATGTTGAATGCGATTAAATGACTTTCATTTCCTTTAATTTGTGACATTTTCAGGACTTCTCAGTGTGTGATAAAAAAAAGTTAATTTCCCCTGGATATTAATAAAATATAATGTGTTGTCTATTATTTTTATTTACCTAAAGTACTAAATTACCAATTTGACTATTATATTAAAACTTTGTTTATTTTGAAGAGCGACGTGTTATCCTCAGATCTCCAGAGCAGTACATAACAATCACAATAGTATATAAAATTCTTTCCCCATTAGCTACGTTGTAGCTGAGTAACTTAATTTCACGCGTAAGGAGTCGCAAGCAACAGCTACTAACATAGTCTACTAGTTTAAAAATATAAAAAAAATGTAGCCCATGTTACTCACAGATAAATTACCTTTTTTAGAAAGAATTTTTAAAATCGGCCCAGTAATTCTTAAATTGTTTCAATACATATAAAAATACAAATCTTTCTTATTGATAACATTAGTAAAGGTAATAAGCGACTTATGTAAATACTGAGTAGGGTTGGCGACTGAAGAGATCAGCCGTAAAATTTAAGACAAATCATTAAGGTTTATAAAACCTTGTGCCACCCCACGTGAGTGAGAACGGAGAGACGAATGATGAAATACACTCCGAGATAAATCTAGCCCAGGGATGACCAAAGTTTTTTTCCCTTATACTGGTCTCGATAAAAACCCATCTGTTACAATTTTTTTGTAAACTTTTAATTTTATTTCCTGTCATCGTACATCGTAAAGATAGGGTGTAACAATTTGGCAGTCACTATTCTAGGCAAGCTGCTATTTCGAAACGTTATCTTCTGAAAGATTTTTTTTGAATAGTACCAAGGTATTTAAGAGTTCTCAATGATTAAACTGAACATTGACAAAATAATAACCTCCCCGTAACGTATGGTAGCGCCAATATTATACAAATCTGATTAATAGAAAAAAATAATGGACATTTTTTAACGCGCCTGAAATACCGTATAAATAGAACGATTGCATTTCAATGTATCTGTTCATACGGTAATTTTTAAAACAAGACGTTTGTCATCGTAGTATTGCATTTTAAGTAGTGAGTGAATGTAACAAGTGATTATAAAGCGACCATCGCTCGATTGCCACCAACGCCGAGTTTTAACGCAGCGTTAAAAAAACGTCTGTGCGACTGAGTTCTAATAAAATCTATAGATTGCATAGCAATAATCGTTGATAAAATTTTTCGTACAAATCCTGTTATTTCTAAAATCGTTTTAGTTTCATTTAATTTTGGAAAATACACGAAAGGGAACAAAAATGTCTGACCACGAACCCAACGCTCAAAAGAAAAACAGTTTTATTATTACATATTTAAATATAACAAACAAATGAAATATCAGAAATCACACCCTGAGAAGTCTAATAGGTCATCAAATTTAAAGGAAATGTAAAGTACGTGGTTGATAAAAGAAGATACTAATATATGGAGATTAATAATTGTTTGCTTTTAGTGCGGACACACGACAAGACAACTTGAACAAATCAGACAACTGGGGTGATACGTCATTTGGAAGGGAAGTTATGAATGTAAGTAAATTGTTATTATTAAAAATCTTCAAATGAATAATTGTATGTGAAGGGATTTGTAGAAACCAGTATCAAATTTTAGACCTCCTTGTAATCTATTATATTTATTTATTTTTCCACTATCTATGGCCACTTAGCAATTGCAGGTCATCTTTGACGCCATCTAAAAAAAGAATGCTAAAGTATCCTTAGGTTAATAGTATTGCATTTGTTTTATAGGTTGTAAAGAAAAACAACTCCAGTTACAAGAAAGCTGTTCGTGAGGATGACTCGGATAGTTCACACAGCCCCTATGACAGCGAATTGGACGAAATGCTGGACGAGGCACTGGAAGACAGCGAAGGACCAACGCCACCTAAAGTAAATAAAGTGAGAGTTTAAATTATGTTCGTAAAGTATCAAGACTAATTAGTCTACTTTTATATACTACTATATGTTGGTCGCGACTTCGTCCGCATAAAATAAAAAAAAATAATTACAAAAATGTAAAAGAATTTTTGTAATCGGCCCAGTAGTTATTGAGTTATTTCAATACATACAAAAATACAAATCTTTCCTCTTTATAGTATTAATATAGACAATATGCCTTGCAAGAATTTTTTGTTAGTGGAAACTCACGGTAATTAGGATTCTGTCCTTGCTAGTTATAAATGTAATATAAATTTTTCATTAAAATTAACTGAATTAAAATTAATTATTCATAAAGTTCTTTGAATTTCGACTTGTTTTTTATGGTACCGAAATGATGTTGCAGTATCTCACGTGCATCGCATTTCCTCTGGATGCACTCACACGACATTTTCTATACGTTTTGTTTGATTTATAATTTGTTGCAATATAATTGTTTGTAAAATTTTCTTTAATGCCATCGTCCAGAACATAAAAATCAATGTTTTTATCTCATAAAAACTGTTTCACTAGATGTGTATGGTGGAAACTCATGTTTGGGTTTTTATCGTTTTAAATTATAATTTGTAAATTAATTTCCTATCAGCAGGGTCTATCATCAAATAGTTTCGTGTACGAGGAGAAGGCAAAATTCAAATCACCAGTAAAGGTGCCGCCCACGACGCCAGCGAAACACGACCGCGGCGCGGAGCTAGTGCATAGCGTTAGCTTTTATAGGAGAATGCAGAATGCTGTGAGTATACAAATATTTACCTGGAGATATAAAATTTGTATTCTCCATATAACTACCAGACCTTTTACCTTCATAGTGTTGCCACAGAATATCAAATGAATTTGTGTTCTTACGCATTTTGTCATACAATTCATACTTTCTTCTACCTTTATAATATTTAATCTGATTATTTTCTTGCTTACAACTAGCTTTCGTCCACGACTCAGTCGGTGTGGAATTAAAAAGAAACAAAAGTAATGTTATGTGTTCTTCCAGACTATGTTTACATCTTTGGTTAATTTTGATTGAGATCCAATCAACAGTGTAGGCTATAAACATTCATTATATATATTCATCTTAACTTTCGCATTTATAATATGCTAACTGTTGCTCGCGACTCTGTCCACGTGAAATTAAAAATTGCAAAAAAATATAGCTATATTAATATAAAATATAAAATCCAAATCTTTCCCCTTAAAAATAAATAATAAAAATATTAGTATATAAGTAAGACAAATTTCATTATTTACCAGTCGTCGACGCCGTCGACCCCACTACGTGTGGTACGGCACGAGTCGCCGGAGCGCGCGCCGCCCGACGAGCCCGTACTCAACGTCACCACGGTGCGGGAACGCATCAAAGAGCTGCAGAATGAGATTAACAAGCAACAAACTATTATATCACAGGTATGTTGGTATCTATACTTTCTATACTAATATAAAATATATTACTAGCTTTCGCTGGCGACTCCGTCCGCGTGGAATTAAAAAAAAGTAAGTAGTCTATGTGTTCTTCCAGACTGTCTTCTATATCTATGTCAAATTTCATCGAAATCCGTTAAGCCATTTAGGCTACAAACTATAACAAAGATCCATTCATCCATCAATCCATCTAAACTTTCACATTTATAATATTAGTATGATATAATAAAGCGTAAACACACACTACTTCGTGGCATAGGATGTCAGCAATCACAGCATATTTTACTTTAATAAAGAGCCCTTCACTTACGATACGCTTTAGCCTATATAATTTCACGCTATTAAACTTAGGGCGTTAATGAATTGCAAAAACAACCTTCATGCGGGAAAGGGACAAAAACTGCAATCTTATCAATAGCAGCAAAGTAGCAACGTTGTAATAGTTACTCAGCAATTCTCAGCCAAAATCAAGGGCCTTCGTCATAATTGAAGCATTTGAATTGTGAAATTTGCAAATGTAAACACTCAAATATAGTATTTATAATGTTATGCGGATGAAGCATGAAAACTTCTAGTGAACTTATATGATTTTTTCTACGGAAACAGTTATAAAAGTAGATGATATTGTTACAGGCTAGCCAGGCGTTGAATCTGTGCGCGTCTACAATAGAATTCAGCGGCTCCACGGAACAGGCGGAAGGGGAAAGACTACTACTTTTAGCTAGTAAGTTTATTTATTGGAAAGGTATACCAATCACATGTTCAAAGTACACAACCAAATTTAATATTGATAACAAACAAAACAAGTTAAACATACACACTTCGAAATTAGTAACATATAAGTATTGAAATTGATCGTCTTATCTGATTATTAGAATCACAGATCTTAGAAAAATAAGGGTTTTAACTGTTTTTTTAACTAGAAATGTTACCTTATTACAATAAATTATATTATCTTAAGAAACAGAACCTAATTAGGTTAGGTTAGTTATTCAGTTGAATATCTCACTTTTGGATTCGTCCGTTAAATTAAATACCGGCTATTAACATTTATTGAACTGTAGCTGTGGCTCGCGACTTCGTCTACGTGAAATTAAAAAAAAATTACAGAAGTGAGTAGCCTAGTTAGTAGTTCTTCCAAACTATTCCCTACATTTAAGTCGATTTTCATTGAGATCCGTTCAGTTTAGGCTACAGACTTTACCAAACATCAATCTAATCGCATTTATAATATTAGTAAGATTTTTTAGGATTTTTTGTCTAATTCGTACAGAAGACAGTAATAGTTTAACGTGTTTTTTTTATTATTTTCTTTATTTCCTGCTCCTATTTTTTGCAGCAGCCTTGTTATCTTTGTAGTTTGTTTTTTTTCTAGTTCTTTACCTTGTTATTTTTTATATGTGTTTTTTTTCTATTTTTTACGTTTAACGTGTTGCAGCGCACCGGCGG